CACACAGTGGGAGGACATTTACGAATGGAAGCACCAGGAACTGGCTTCGTTTGAGCTTGAAGCGCGCAATCCACGATGAGGCAAGATAAGAAGGAGTACTCATCCAGAGGAGAGAATACGTCGACCGATTCTGAGCCGCCACGGACCACGTTCACGTATTTTTCCCAATCGATGTTTCTCGTGAGATCGTATGCGATGTTGTTGGATGTTGCGAAGATGAGCCATTAGAGATCGAGATTTTGATGGACAAATGATCACTACCATAGGGGTCTTGGATTACCTCCTACATGCAATCCAATGATAGTGAGTTCGAACAAAGTGACAAATCCAATCTGCTCACTTTTGCTGGAGGTTTGGCTATTCGTGTTACGTCTCCGGTGTTTAAAATAGTCATGTTAAAATTGTCGCGAAGGTCATAAATGATGGTTGAGCGATTGACAGCGTACAGCTCTCCCCAGCCTGTACCGTGGGAATTAAAATCCCCTAAGATCAAACGCGGCTCAGGTAACACTGAGCAAATGTCCGATAAAGCTCGATGAGAAACAGCCGTTCTCGGAGGTATGTATAGCGAGGCAATACTGAGGCTTTTACCTCAAATATTCACCTGACATGCGACAATTTCAACAGCCGAAATTGCAGGAAGGACAATTCTGTAAAAAGAGTGACGTTTGTCGATCCCCAAGAGCACACCCCCATAGGAGTCTACACGATCGAGACGGACAATGTTAAAACTGTGAAGAGAAAGATCGATGTCTGGAGAAAGCCATGTTTTGCACGGAGCAAAAGCATCACAATTCAGGTTGCTTAGCAAGAATTTGAACACGTCTAGCTTCGGAAAAATCCTTCTACAATTCCATTGTAAGAGAGATACCGTATCGTTTTTTGGAAAATTATCCATCGAAGGATACGATCGAAGCAAGGAGGGGCCACTTGGAAGCTAGTTGCTTCAGAAGAGGTATCACGATTGGGAGCATCATATCAATGATGTTCCTTAGAGGGCCAGAGATTTTAAGCAAATCGAGAATGCTGTCCACTATTCCAAAAAACGTGAACATGGCGTTACGCTGTTCTGGCTGTGAAACTGGGATATCCCGGATGTTCCCGGAAGCTGCGGAAATGCTTTGTCGTAATCGACAGGCTTGCAACCCGGTGGAACGGGTTTCGGGACATTTCCACGGCCTCTTGATTTATCCAAGGGGGCTTGGGAGTCAGTACTAGTGGTGTTTTTAATTTTCTGCAAACCATTCCTGGCTCGCTTTCTAGAAGGACCTTGGAAAACAAAATGACTTCCATCATTGCCTCCAGCATCAGCGTCGTCCTCATCAACTGGGAGAAGATTGAAAGGATTATTGTCGTTTTTTTCCGGAGTGGTTCTGGGAAGCGGATTAAAAGCCTCCAAGATCTCTGCAAAGGAACGCTGAGAGCGTGCCTTCAGGGACCGTTTAAGTTGTTCCTCCTGTTGCTTGTACTTAGGGCAATCTGCGAGAGGATGCGGAGATGCCAAACAATAAACACATTTGGGAGGAGTACTACAAGCACCCTCCACATGCTTCTCGCCGCACAGATCGCAGCGTGGCTTGTTGCCGCAGAAGGCAGCGGTGTGGCGTAATTGTTTACACTTTGTGCAGTTCATCACCCTCGATACAAACAACCGCCCAGGAAGTCGAACCCTTCCAATCCTGACGTAATCTGGCAGTGCAGATCCGGAGAATGTCACCCGAAACGAGTCTGATAGCAAGTAGGTTTTTTTTCGTCCCATCCAGGGACGCTGACTGCATTTGAATGCAGTCGAAAATTTTTACTTCAGGGAGGGTGGGGTTCTTGAAGACACCAACCACCCTCTTCAGGAAGTCTTCGCTGGTCATACTCGACTCGGTGCCCACTCCATCTATTTCCACGTCGTGACATGGGATATAAACACGATACTCTAACGTAAAGAGCTCGCAGGCAACAATCTCGTTTGCCTGCTTGCGACAAGCAACAGTGACGCGCAGTTTGTCTGGCCGCACCTTCAAAACGTCGGTCACGGACGAGAAACGATTGAAAATATTCTTTTCGATCCGGTTAACATTTAGAGCTTTTTGCTTGGGCCGGAAGAAAACAACCCATAGACCTTTCGAGGCGTCTGGGTATGCCTTGTGGCGGGGGACAGCTTGCGTTAGTTTAACAGGGATAGGCGATGTTGGCGGAGAAGACTTAGTCGGTGTTGGGGGTGACGGGTTAGGTGGGGTAGAGGGAGACGGTATGGGTTGTGAGAGGGGAGAAGGTGGGGACGGTGAAGGCTTAACCTTTGGGATGGTTCCGGTATTCTTTTTTGTCATACGGGATTTCATTTCCACATCGGACTGCTCATCGTCAGTGGGAACGGCAGAAAGGGAAGCCCCCTCGCCATCATTACTCCTATCCATTGCGTTGCAACTACCACCGCAATGGATTTACAAAAAAAACTACACACACGAGGAAACACAGAACACACAGGGAAGGAGAAATCGAAACAAAAAAAAAAAACGGGGAAAAGGAAGAAAGATAGAACGAGAACAAAGGGCAATACAATATATTTGCTACTTATCTAACTACACCGGTACAACGTTATGATGTTGAAGACGATCTATGCTGCTATCCGGTGGTGCAGATCGTTGTTGACAGTTCGGTTTGGCACGATTGGAAAAAAATGCTACCGTCAGGGACGGCTGGGGAAGCTTGCTTCCACGAAGAGCGTTGCTGGCTGCTTGTGGTATTATCAACTAGCACTATCACTTGCACACTTGCGCGATGGCGTGAAAAACCCGAAACGGGAAAAAAAAACACAGCTCAAAAACGACGGAGAGAAAACAATGCACGTCCGGCACGGTCAACGCTCGTCGATGATCTAGATAAAATTGATAAATGGCAGATTTTTAGTGATGGGCATAATCATAGATCCATAGGCCAACATTTGAGCCATTTCCTCTATTTTTTATTCCGCCATTCCCCTAATGGACCATGTCCGTGTTTGGGTGGTCCGAATGATCTTTTTTTTTTTTCAAAAATGCCTGTTTTCTAAAATTTATAACTTCTGAGCCTCTCGACCGATTTTTACGGTTGACCATTCAAATGAAAAATGACTTAAGTTTATTTTAAAGAGATATTTGATTTTGTACAAAAATACGCTACAAATGCTTTTTCTAGATTTTTACTGCGAGGTTCTTCAACAACTTCTTATTGTAGTATTTTTAATTGAGGATCATTTAATTTTACATTTCATATTAAAAATAGCGATGTTGGCGAAATCGTTTTGGAGATACACGGTATTCATTTTCAACGGAAGAAAAATGTGTAAAAATTATAATTGAGACAATTTTGAAAAAAAATTGATTTTTTTTTAACACGGAAATCCTAAAAAAATACAAGTTTAATATTTTTTGAAAAGGAAGAACTATATCAATTTTCACGAAATTCTGAAACTCACTATAACTGTTTTCTATTGCATTGCTGTATATGAAGTACTCATAATTTTAAAGCACTTGATTGTACTCATCAATAAGGGCCTAGACATTGTTTTAAATGCGCGTTTAAGATCAAAAAAAAACAGCAACAGTCGTATCTTTACGCTCCAAGTTGTCTTTCCACTTCGCTAACATTAAATTCAACGAAGCATATTCTCGATATCCTGATTGTTCTGGTATAAACAAACTATTACTATTTAAATACTCCAACAGCTGGTCTTTAACAACAAGTTCTAAAATTTTCTCCAATGTTTGCAACATGTTGATGGGACGAAACTCTTCGGTTTTAATCGTTCCAGCAACTTTTTGAATAGGAACCACTAAGTATTTTTTCCAAATTTGTGGCATTCGACCAGCCTGCAATAATTCATGAATAAGGTCTAGCAAGATGTGGCCAATGACATGAAAGCAATCTTGAATAACTCTAGCATTAACATAATCTACTCCAGCCGATTTTCCTAATGAAAAGCAAATAACTCTAAGTTCATCTAATGTAATGGGTGAAAGCCTTGAAATCTTCAACTACTATTGACTGGCTGCTTTATTTTGTCAGGTTCATCGAATTCATAGATTGATGGAACACTTTCGACAAAATAATCATAAAATTTAGATGCAAGCAATTTAAGTTCTGAATGTTCTACTGTGCCATTAACAGTTATGGACCGCAGTTTGCAATTACTAAGAAGCGCGATTGTGTACCTATTCCAATGATTATCACTATTTGATCTACAAAACTTTTTGTACCATTTGCTCCTCTTACTTTAAAGACGCAAAAGATCCAAATTGTACCAGCTCTACGAGTTTTTCAAAGAAACAAACTTTTGCTCAACTAATTGATTGGTACACGTTTTCAAAGTGTTAGTCAGTACAGCTATAGATTCATCTAAATTACCGACCGTGAATGGGAAATCCACGCACAACAAGATTCGAAACAGCCTGTTTCGAATATTTCCTCCAGCACTTCAAACTACTAAGTCATCGTTATTATTATTTTTTTTTTTTTTTTTTTCATTTGGTTTGTTTTTTCCGTCGATCTTGTTTTCCGTGCTGAGCACCAATACTACCGACGTGCCAGGAAGGCAGCTCCCACACCTGGACCCTACCTATCGACCCATCAACTCATGAACCGGGGACCAACGGCTTTACTTCCCATCCGAAGGAAGGCGTGATCAGAGATGTTATGCCTCAGAACATCCCGGCGGCGCCGACTGGGATTGAACCCAGGCCTGCTGGGGTGAGAGGTAATCACGCTTACCACTACACCACCGGCGCCGTTTTTCGTTATTATTGATAGAGACTACAAATTTCGTAGATTTTGAAATTTGTCTAAGTGTGAGAAATTAAAAAAAAAAACTAATGTTGTAAATTTTAACGAGTTCAAAACTAGTTTTATAAAATTCTATCCAAAATTATAATCCATCTTCTTCCTTTTATCATTTTTTTATCATTGCTTGTCATATATTTCTACCTACTCTGGATACCCCCATAAATATAGCTGTCAAGAAACATGCTTACCGATACGCCAAGAAATTGCGTCGAGTTCATAGCAGCATATATAGTGTTTGCAATTTCTTTATCAGTGTAGGTAAAATCTTTTAAGTTCTTTCCCTTGAGTTTACGCATTGTCTTGTTGAATGCTAAGGCCACACTCCACACAGCATCGTACGCCAGTGGTGCTTCTTGGTATCCTTCGGGGTAGCGATTATGATTGATATCATAACCTTCTTCAATTAGCGCATCGTTCAAGCGTTTTCTGAAAGACATACAAAAAAGGGGAAACAATTAAATAATTTGCTATTTAAGGTTATAGATTATGCGATTGCTAAAATCTGGTTAACATGAGTAGTTATAATCATGCCATCGATGACCGTAAAGTTCGTAGTTGCTACTTCACGACTGACCAGATATGGACACACAGTCAATACATTTCATTTACACGATTGTTAAAAATAAATAAAAATAAATAAATATTGATAAAATTGCACTATTATTAATATTTTTTTTTAAATAAATTTCGCTTGGGGGAAAGGCGAAGGAGGAAAACCATCATCACGCAGCTCAAGACAGAGCAGCACGAAACTATTGCCGAGCCACAAGCGATCGAAACCCACATGGTCAATTACTTCAAGACCCTCTACTCGGAAGAAATATGAGAGAATTTCGAAAACAACTTTGTTTGCGAGAGAGTCGTTCCACCCTACGACCCACTGAATGAAGCCTGTTTAAGCGAAGTCTCCACGAAAGAAATTTTACATGCAATCAGGGCAAGCACACTGACGATAGTATCTCGAGGGAGTTTTACCACCGTATATTAAATGTAATCCACCAAGAGCTTAATCTGCTGCTAAATGGAGCACTTACCCGCTACATTTGTGGATGACATCAGCGTGCTGGAAAAGAAAAAAGATAGGGACAACACGGTTTCGCTTCTCAACAGTGACTACAAGCAAAGATGAATTCTAAGATGAAACTGTCGGAAGAAAAACTTTCTATTTTAGTGTCCTCTTTCACGGTCCCTTTCATCCAATGAATACCCTCCGTATTCAAGGTAATTTTGTGGTTTTGCTGCCCCCTCGGTAGAGATGAAATTTTGCGCTCTTTTTTATCAAAACAAACACACCAAAATCAGAGTTGTCCCATTTTTTAATTACTCGATTAACAACTAATCGATTTTTTTGTTCGCTGTGCTGCCATTTATTCACCAATGAGAGTGCAGCACATGTTTGAAACAATCGATGATGATCCTCTGCACGGTAAGCTGCTCACCCGTTGTGAGATTGACGCCGGCGCAAAATTAAGTTTGTGGACAACTGTTGCCATCTACGTATGTTTTTGCGAAACAACAGCCAATGTTGTCAAAATCTTGGGCAAGGTGACTACAAGCTCTTCTCTCGCATCCTCAAAACCATATTGGAGCGAGTGATGAGAGCCCACAATGTTTTGAGCAACAGACAGAAATTTTTGAACTCAGAGCGAAACATCTTCGAAGCCATTCTCGCCCTCAAAGATCGCATAGCCAGCCTCCGTCATCATTGTCATTCGATAACATGTGCTCGCTCAGATTCAATCAAGAACTCATCGCTCTACTCTCGCGTATTGCTGGCCGATCTACATCTCGTCTCATTCGCTCGAGATCCAACGCGCTGTACCTTCATTATCTTGTGTGCAGACTCGAACAAGCGTTTGGAAACGATCTGGTAGTAGCGTATGCGGATGACATCAGCGTAATCGTCTCATCGGCTGGGTAAATCGAAGCTGCTCACCCGTTGTGAGATTGACGCCGGCGCAAAATTAAGTTTGTGGACTACTGTTGCCATCAACGTATGTTTTTGTGAAGACAACAGCCAATGTTGTCAAAATCTTGGGCAAGGTGACTACATATAGAACTCAACGGCACTGCATGGACCACCGAATGTTTGGAGAAGGGCATCGAGTTCCAGTTTATTCCACCTCGTGCGCCGCATTTCGGCGGCCTATGAGAGGCTGCAGTAAAGGCCTTCAAGTGGTATTTCTTGAAGATCATCGGAGCAGCTCCACTCCACTACGACAATATGCGCACAGCGGTTTCCTAGACTGAATGTATACCGAACTCCAGACCATTGACGCCTCTTTCCAACGACCCGCATGATCTCTCTGTCCTGACACCCGGTCATTTCTTGCTTGGAGAGTCTCCCTTTAATTTACCGGAGGCAGACCTCTCTCAGGTGCCGACTAATCACCTCAACCATTTCCAGGCCACACTACGCTCCGTCCAAAATCTCTGGAAACGACCAGCTAAGTGGAGGAAGTCCCCTATCGAGTTTCACGTCGGGACCATGGTCTTGCTGAAGAAGGATAACGTCCCTTCGATGCAATGGCCCCTTGGCAAAGTTGTGGCGATCTATCCCATAAGTGACAACATCGTGCGCGTAGCGGATGTGCACACGCAACTAGGTATTCGACGCCGTGCAACATCTGAACTATGCGTCCTCCCCATCGATGATCAGAATCCAACGAAGGCACACGATTGCAAAACCGTCACCAGCAACTCTTCTTGAATGCTGCGCTTCAAGAAGAGTTTGTGGTCGCCCGGTGATGTTGCGGCCCATAACATATAGTACAAACATCAAAGCACTACATAAAGTACGAGTAAATTATACATACAAAATGAATTATAAATTAACTTAAAAAACCCACCACCCACACCGCTTCTACACTTCTACATCTATATACATCCCAAATGGATTACCTTCCACCTCACAGTGAACACGACAAATAAATCAGTTTACCTAAGAACTACAATGCAAGGCAGACCAGTTTCTTTAATCTCGTCCGAAAACTATACTCGGTTCACGCCAGTCCACCCAGTGATTGAAACCACAAGTTCGCTGTCGTTTTCTAGTTCGCCTTTGTCGTCGTGTGGGCCAGATTCCGGCAGTTTTGCAAGAACACTTTTATTATGCGGTTTTCCATGAAAAACGTGCCATATTTTATTAAGATAAAGAAATAGATCTAGTACTTCAGTGAAGTTTTTTGTTTTGATAGTTTCTAAAACTTTGCTCAAGACACCGATCCTGAATATTACATTATTGAAAAAAGAAATATCTTGTATTATTCATTGATCTGCCATTGTCAAAATGAGGGGCTTTTCATATCCAGAAGCTTTCCCAAAGACATCACTTGTCTAAAATGCAAGATTCACAAGATAATGACTATTGGTCGTCTTTTCACAGGTCTGGACCACTGTGTTTCGGTTTGGCTGAATGAGTCCTTATCTGCCAGAAATCTACGTTAACAGTCATTGTTTGCTTTTGGCATATGTGGTCTAGATTTTATTATTGCAGAATTATAGGATTGGAGGTAGGTTTTAAGTTCGGTGTATGCTGTTTATAGCAGATGTAAGTTACTTACCGAAAGTCTTCGGATGACATTCCTGAGATGGTTTTCTGATTGTTTTGATTCCACATGAGTGCCTCTGTTGTCAGATGACCCTGGGCTGCCATCCTCATCTGTTCTTTGGTACAAGAGATGTTTTCGTTCCTGAGATTTACTTCGTACCAGTTATCTTCGTACCATCCTAGAAGAACAAAAAGTATGATTTACAAAGTTAAAATTGCTACCATTCCATCAATTTCCCACGAATGTGTTCTACTTTCATGCTTGTTATGGTTGAGTATATTTTTTTGTTTTAAATATTTAAGAATGTAGTGGTCCAGGATTTAAGATTTTTCGCTTGCTCTCATCTTAGTGTTCTATTGTGCACTTCCACAGTTATTCATTAATAGATTTTTATGTCAACATACATGAAATTGTACATTTTGTGACAAGCACAATAATATTCTAAGGAAGTCGAGCTTTCTTAGACCGGACGAAAAATGGTACCTTACTATACTTCCGATCATTGAGGGTATGCCACTTCCAATAATATAGTATAAAAAATAGTTTACGTAGTTGGAGATGCTTAACGATAAAAAATAGAGCAATCGATAATTAATCAAGTCATTATTTCATGCTTCGTTTCCAATAACAATATCGCCGAAACTTTTCAAACAATGTTGATAATCTCCGCTCTTGTTCTTTTGCACTAAATCTAACTTCCAACAGTTCTTTATTCTGAAGGCAGTTAAACCATGCAACCGGGTGATGATGCGGTATGAACACCACCGTGAGTAAGGATGAACATACAATTTTGTTTTGAAGCTCAACAGAGCTAGCGACAAACAAGGGCTGACAAAAATACAGCTTCAGGCTCCGGAGTAACAGTTTTATTTGACTAAGGAGAGAGAGAGCAGCACACGTCTTTGTATAATGCTTGGGGTGTAGGTTGACGTTTATAAATCGCAATTAAATATTAACGTTTGGTCAGGAGGCGTTGAATTATTTTTAATTTTAAAGCACATTTTCACATAGCATCCAACACAGAAGTGAATCTCCGGTAAACATTAACATATTAGAACCAGTGTGATCAGACGCTTTTAAGCATTAACTTTCTTAGATAACAGCAAAAAATGAAAGATACTTGGATCCAGTTCATTTATGGTAATTTTTCAGAAGATTTGTTTTAAATATTTTTGTGAGAGAATCGAAAGCTAGTATTATTTAAATCATAAGAATATTTACCCAGGAGTATCGGACTTACAGAGATACCTTGCCACAATTTGCCTTTGAATGGAATGTGCGGGACCAACTATGCCCAAAATGCCAGGTGCCCAGTGATGTGGCGGTGTGGCATCTACTAGCAAAAATCGTGTCAACTTCCGAGCATTGCATCACACAACTTCTACATGATGTTCTTTATACGTTAACTACTATAACTTTAACTTAATCCTAAATATACAAAACGATATTAATATTAATACCAGATTCAAACATAGTCTAAATGCATGAAGCAAAAACTAGCAGGAAGGTAAAAGTGCATTATAAAAAAGATTTTTAAGCCTAGGACGGGATTCACTAAAATCAAAACAGCTGTAGCATTTGTTGAAAATTTTGTCCATAATAGTTAACGGCTCATTAGCACCGTAGTTTTTGTGTGAATCCGGGATGAAAAAATAACAAGAGAATAACATAATATAATAATAAATTGTACAAGTGAGCCTCAGTCAATGTCCGATCGAAGGAAATCAGCGTTGAAAACAGCCTTAGAGACGCCACAGCGAAAGCTTAGTAATTGTATGGTCATCAAATTACAGTTACCGTAAAACGGGATATCTTTGACAATGCGGGTAACTTTGATAGTATAATGTAAAGATTAAATTTACTTGTTGCGTTTTTTTCCAAATTAGAAACATTGGTTCCATATAGTAGCTTAGGGTATTTCCGTTAATATTGTATGTAGTTTTTATATAGTATGTGTTGCATATTTTACAAACATATTAAAAAAAATCGTGTTTTTCGTCTGTTTGAAAAAGCACTCAAACCATCACTTATGAAATGTATTTCCGATATAGCCATCACCAATTCAATGTGGTATTCTTATTGCTTATGATATTTTCTGATTATATACTCATTCAAAGTTTCATATTCAAAGAACTAAATTGTTTGAGTTTCAACCATATATTTCTACATTCATCGAGCATTATCAAAGTAACCCCAAATCAAAAACTAAAGTTCGGTCACACAACTAAAAAAATGGTACAAATGCTTTAATTTAATTTAAACATATTACTGACGAACTGACTCTTGGATCCTCAGTACTTGTTTTAAAAATATAAAATTTGAAAAACATTCATTGCTGTAAAACATATTCAGAATAAACTTAAAAAAAACTATCGATGTTACCCCGTTTTACGGTACTTAAATAACTAGGAAGGTTGAAAGGATCACTCCAGGGTATCCAATGATCAGTCCGCATTGTGCTCTCTTGCCGTGCGGATCTATTTGCTTTTTGCTGAAGGAAGTGTTACTACTACCTAAAGCTACAACAAATTTAAACAGCACTTTTCAGTGCTCAACCTGTAAAATTTCTACCTTGTTCAACTCTTACTCCTCTTCGATCCTTGTTTGGACCCTACCCGAGGTAATCCTTCTTGGATATCGATTTGGAAAATTTCTCTTCGATCCTTCAGATTCTTATAGTAATCTGCTTGGAAGCCGATTTGGATAAAAATTTACTGCCGCCATGGCGCTCAAGCGCAAAAGAAAACTGTTGTTCCCCCTTCAATCAATTTGATTTGCTCACGGATAATGAGAATGATCCATCATCCAAGAAAAGTAAATAGTAAACTTTCCTGGCTTAATTCCCCCTACTGTGATAACCACTTCCGATTTCCATACTCTTTGCATGGAACTTTTGAACTTCGTGAAAGTTAAGTTTTCACTACAAATTGGACATCGGGGTAAATGCCGTGTATTGACTGAAACCTTGGACGGATGTAAATGTCTTCTCAAGTATCTTACTGAGAAGCAGCTCAAGTTGTTTACTTATCTGCTTCTAATTTTTCATCTATACCCACCCCCCTCGCTGCTTACAATATTCAGCGAGTTAATGGAGTTACTGCTGCTTAAAAGGAATTTTTACAGAAATCATTAATTGACATGATTACTGATATGCTTAAATCTAACTGCATGTTTGATGCTATTCAAACTGGAGTAAGATTTGCAAACAAAATTGTCATGACTTTGAAATTCAGTAATTGATTTTAAAGCATATTTTAAATTGGAAGGCTCGATCTCTTAAAGATAATTAAGACGAGCTATTTAACTTTTTGAGAGTTCATAACGTGCATTTTGCCATTATAACTGAAACGTTCCTTAAACCTGATGATAAGGTACGAAGGACGCAAATTATTTCATTTATAGAAATGATCGTCTTGATGGACCCTGTGGTGGCGTTGCCATCATTGTTCATAGACGAATCAAACATAGAATTCTTTCTTCATTTGAAACCAAAGTTTTTGAAACTTTGGGAGTTTTTGTTAAAACAAAATTTGGACAACCTACGTTTATAGCTGCCTTTTTGCCATTCGATTGCGTAGGCCAGCAAAAGAATTTTCTCAAGGGTGACCTTCAGAAACTTACCCGTCATTGGTCTAAATTCTTCATTATTGATGATTTTAATGCAAAACAACGCTCATGGAATAATGCTCAAAGCATGTTTTGCAGGTTATTACACTATTCAATATCCAAACAGCCCAACATGCTTTTCTTCAGCAAGAAATCCCTCAACTATTGATTTGGTCTTAGCTGATTCATGTCAACTCTAACCTGGTGTCCATGTTCGGTTGAACGCTTTGGAGATGTCCAGCGAGACGATCTCCGCGTGATGACTTTGGTCATGTGCCTCCTTCAGGACTTCCCCAAGAGTGGCAAAATAGGTGGAGGTGCCATACCCTTGCCTGAAGGCGTGCTGCCGATGGTCAAGCAGCCCCTTGGCCTCAAGATATTGCTTCAGTCACCTGTTGACCATCCGTTCCAGGACTTTGACTATGCATCAGGTCAGTGCAATGGGACGGAACCCACTGATGTCTTTGGTCCCGACATTGGTTTTCGGTAACGGTATAGCAAGGCTTTCTATCCAGTTTTCTGGGTATTCTTCAGCTGTCCACAGTTGGTTGTAAAGGACGAGAAGTTTTGTTTTGCCTTCGGGTGGAAGGTGCTTTAGCATCGGGTAGCCGATATCGTCCGGTCCGGCCGAGTTCCCGTTGCTCCGACTGAGAGCGAACACGAGTTCTTCCCAGGAGAGTGGGCTGTTGATCGGTAGGTCGTCGTTGTCTGGAGGAATTCCGAAGACAAACACAAAGGACAGTGAGGGGAAATTTTGCTGCGCCGACCGGCAATTTGTTGTGCTGCTGGCGATAGTTCGCGAGGATCTCTTCTCTTGCTAAATTGTTTGGGGAGGTGCGTTTGAGCTTCCGGAGTGCTTTTCGCCTGGCTTTTACTGCCCTTTTGGTTTCGTCGATCCACTAGCGGAGTGCCTTCCGCCCGGGGACACAGCCAGTTTTGGGTATACTGGTGCTAGCGGCTTTATAGATGATTTCCGTGATGCTTGGGATGATTTAGGGTTCCTGGTTCTGCGCGAGGGCTTGGTACGTGTGCTGAAAACCCTCCCAATCAGCTTCCTCGTAGCGCCACCGCGGTCCTCGGGTGTTCTCTGGGGGCGATGCGGCGGATAACCGAATCTGTACCGGATAGTGGTCACTGCCACACAGATCCGGGTTAATCTACCTAGAGCACTTTGCCCGCCAGAGAAAGGCTGGCTGTGGACACGTCAATGGCGGAGGTGTGCCGACCGATGAAAAACGTTGGGCTGCCATCATTTAAAATGACCAGATCTTCCTGCTCGAAAGTATCGCAGAGGGTGACGCCTCTAGGGAATACTCGTGGGCAACCCAGGCCGGGTGGTGGCCATTCAGGTCCCTATAAAAATCTTGAGTTCCGGTAGCTGATAAAGTATTCTGCGAACCTGGTTGTCCAGGCTGGGCAGCCTTCCACAGGGTAGATAGGCACAGGCGATGGAGATGCTAATTGGATTCTGGATATGAATGCCGAAGATTGGGAGGATGGTATCCAGATCAACGATTCGGTGAGTGATTTCCTTGCGGACTCCTATAGCAACGGATCTCCGGAGGTTGCACC